CTACATTTCCGATTGTCTGATGTCGGCCTGTTTGGTTGGCCGCTTCTCCTTTCCTGGTAATTGTATGCACGATTATGTTTCCAGTGAAAGAACAATAAAACAATGAGAGGAAAGCAAAATAGGGATAATCAATAAATAGTTTTTTTTCAAACAATAAAGTTTAAAGAATTGTGAAGCGAGCGTGGTCAGAGCTTCAGACACAAACCACTGATTTCATGTCAAAGCATTTTTTTGGCAGAAAAATGCCTTACGCCTAATAGTACTAGTTTCCCCGAATGATGTCCCATTTCAAATGAGTTTGCGTTTTCCTTTGAAGTACGGTTTTTCTGGTCTCTAATTAGGAACAAATTATGACAATCGGAAATCCGGCAAAATATTTTCCTCACTCACACTTGGATTTAAAAATTATTTTACAGAATTCGGATGATGTTGAGACGAACAGTTCTTTGGCTTACGAAAGTGCAAGAAGCTGTCCACCTTCACCAAGTCTCTCGCTCTCGCAGACAGTCATCACAAGTGCAGAGCAGAAACGCGACCCATCCGGCATTTCTCGTCATCCCTCCGGACAGAAAACGTTGTGTGGACAGAACCACACGGAGACAATCCAAGCAGAAAAGTATTACAGTGAACTGGAAACAGCATCCAATTACAGCTCGGTCTCCAAAGCTACTTCGCGTCCAGCCCCATGGGCAGCTGCGACTGCATCTTTTGTTTCACGTAAAACAACCGCCCAACGTCCCAGTACCATCAATCTTCCATTACCGTTGTCCCCGAAACGACGTAGTTTCGGCGCACAGTTCGGAATGTACAAATCCATCCCAACCCCGGATTCCGCACGTGTGTGGTCAAATTTCTGTGAACGTGTACAGACTATTGGATTACAGCATCGTGTGGTAACTCGATAGGAATGAGAAGAGAATTAGAATTAGATATCAGGAATTGACAAAAATTATGTTATTCCAAGATTATTGACCCTCTTCCCACATTTCTGGTGATTGTCTAAAGACTGCCGTCTTTTTCGCCACATACCATCAAGAATGGCATTTCTCACATCCTGCGCCTCCATCTCTTCGATTTTCATTGTTTAATTCACTACAAGCATTTCAAACTACAAAATTATTTCTCTTCACTTCGTAATAAGCTCTCTCCATAAATCACAGATACTTCCGCATCACTGATCCTCTGCTAACTTCTCGTTTCTTATCAGGGTGTTTTGTCTGGACAGTTGTATTGTTTTTCAGTGATACTGATTTGAAAATACTGTCCCACTGTTTGTCGAATAAAAACCTACATTTAAATGCAAGAACCAACTTTTCAAGATCGATTGCATCCGGCGATTATAGTTTATGTTTCAGCTCGGCACTGATCCGTTGTAAACATGGCTTAGAAATCCCGCAAGTCGCCAGTTCTTTTTGGATCAGTCTCCCCAATCGAACACGTCGAACAAGAAAATGTGGATTTTTCGGGGATTTCGCTTTGTCCGATGTTTGATTTTCCGCTCAGAAAATTACTATCGCTTTATAGGTGCATAAACCAGACCTGAAACAGGTGAGTGGTATTTTCAGGTCTTCCCCGCTTCGCCTTTTCAACACCGTTCCATTCTCGTTGCATACGTAATCCCGAACAATTTGCGCATCGTAAACGTGCAGTTTCGGATTTTAAACATATTAGCTTCATTGCTGCTGCCGACTTGATGCCATCCATTCATCCATTTCCAGGTACACAGGCACCCCTCAGAACAGTAAATTGTTTGCACTGTTGTTGACTATCATATTTTTTTCGATTTCTTTTGCTGATGAAAAAATGATCCGAATCCGGTTGCTGAAAAAGGAGTTGTGACTGTTGAACCGGCTTTGCCGTGCTGCAGAAATCCTCTAACAGCACTCACATATCCAATGTGGATCTGCACTATCCAGCAAATGTCTTTATATAATTTGCCTGTGGTTTATTCTTTCACTTATTCGAAAAGCATAGAGTTTATGTACGCCCTAATTTGAGCCTCTTAGGTGATCTGTCAAATCTAAACAGTGCTGGGGAGGGGAGGAATTCTTTAAGACTATTCTGTGCTCGGTCCGCGACTCTTCCTAACATACATAAACGACCTACCGAAGGATCTGGGGCCAAATGCATTATTGTTTGCAGATGACGCCAAAATTTGGACCACAGCGACTTAACCAGCGGGTTTGCTGGCACTCTGGGAAAGGCTGAAAGCAGCTCATCACTTTTGATATCAAAATGCTAGAGCATTCACAACGGATGGCCACCAAAGTGGTAAAGGGGTTGAATCGCTATTCATACGCCAAGAGACTGGAGTCTCTGGGGTTATATTCCAATCAGAGGAGAAATGAATATGGTATACATTTCAACATAAATGAAGCTGCGTGCAGCAGTGGAAGAAGCATGTATGATGTGGCATTTCACACAGGATATCGCATATATCACTGACTTTTAACCAAAACACGAACCTATGAGACGAGAAAAGCAGGAGCTCGTAAGTTATTTACATGATATAACTTTGAACTCTGAAACTTTCATTCAAATCTCACTCATTTATGCTACGTGATCATAAAACCAGGGACATCGGTGGTAACATCGCTGTGTCCGAATGGCTAATACACACACATAATAAAGCACAGTAACATCACCGGCGTCTCCTGCATAAATGTATGTCTAGCCATGTTTGACCTTACGCAATCCGCTACTGATGAATCCATGACTGCAACGCGATCGTATGCTTTTGGAACGTCCGCAAAGAATGGTCAAATGACTGCAATACAAGACTTATATGAAAAGACTGGGGTCATTGGGGGCTGTACTTCACACAGTATCGCCGAATCCAATAATGCAAAACCCTGATCACCCAAATCGTTCAGTGTTCACCTTGTCGCCCAACACTCACCTCAGCGGACACCCATTCAAATTAGGGCTCTGAAACTGTCCACTAGAATGCCAAATTTATTCGTTTTTCTCGGAGTTTGTGGTATTTTGAATTTTCCACCACCTCACGTTCATTTAGCGCTCACAATTAGTCCTTTGAATCACCGTAGTTTGCTATCTATGTTGACTACTAGGCATTTGGTGGTTTGTGTCCTGGTGACGGGTACGGAATTGATGACTGAGGGTCCCAAGGGATAATCGGATTGGGAAAGACTAAAAATGTATTCGAAGTATTTAGAAGTATTCAACCGGAGACCGGATTGATTCGAGAATTATTGCACCTGTAATAAACTGTCGGAAAATGACTCTGAGATTGGTTTGAAATGGCTTAATTTAAGGCTACATCCTCTACATACTTGAAGGTTTTGGTTGGTGGATTTGAAGGTCACTCACTGATGAAAGCTGAAATAAGAAGAGAGAGAGAGAGCACAGCACCCTGAAGGACTCCAGAGTTATTGACTAACGATTTTGAGATAGTGCCGTTTGCTTTCGTTCTTTGGATCCTTCCTGTGAAACAACCTTTAAACCATGACAATAAGTTGGTGGGGCAAACGAACGATTGTAGCTTTCGCAGAAGAAGAGATCGTGGGACGGAATGGAAAGCGGAAGAATAGTCAAGGAAAACACTACGAACCGATTTTTGAGAATCATCTAAAGATTTATAAATAAAGT